TTGGGGCCCGCAGTAATCAACTCTCAAAAATGTTAGTTTTGAGATCCAGATTTTCTGCCTTCAGCGGTCCTTTGTAGAGCGTCAATATTTGTGACGTCACATACGAGACACGGCTGGCTAGCTGCATACTGCTACACGGCACTGATCTGTTCGTCCAGTGTGTGACGTCACAATTCAGAGCTCGCTACGCTTGTGTGTTTCACTTACGTTCAGGGGCGTTCGGGGGTCTAAGGAGGGTCTTGAAGAATTGCATTTTACGCCTTTCCATGATATCTATATGATTTCTCAGCAAATTGTTCGTGTTTTTCAAGAGAAAATCTTTCCATCCATATGTAATTTGTTCTAATTATGAGTTTTTAGTGAATTTTCTTTGTGTAGCTCCTTTAATACGGACCTGTGAAACACAAGGTACGGGGTTCGAATCCCTGTCACAGCACTAAAGTCATTTGATAGGAAATTTATATATATTTGCCACTCTAGACAAAGGTGAAATAAATGGGTAGCTGCATGGGCCCCGTCTTACAAAGAGTTGATATCAATCGCAACCTATTTGCGATTGATATCAATCGTTACTATGTACATAAGAGATAGGAGATCGACTGCCGGAGACTGCAAACTTGCGATTGATTTGGATCAATCGTAACTCCTTGTAAGACGGGGCCCTGGTATGCATCGAGCACTATAACAGTGATATCCCCTCAACAGACCTTTCCATTTAAAAAGGAAGCTTCCTTCTGAAAAAAATGTTAACAGTGATAATGATTATATAGCTATTAACTCGGTTATCCGTGCTAATGTCAAATTATTCACCAGGAACTGCGGAAGCTGAAACCTTATTCATAATGTCATCATTTGCTAGCGTATCCATCGCTGAGGTTAGGCGGGCAGCCCCAGGTGGGTTACGATGGATGCAGCTATATCTCTTCAAAGATCGACGGTTCGCCGAACACGTTGTAAAGGAAGCCGAGAGAGAAGGATTCAAAGCTATCGTTCTCACCGTCGATTTACCTCTGTGGGGAGACTATTCATTCTTCAGATCTTCGCATGCAACTTCAGCATCGAGATACTATTACGATCCAAGCCTGAGGTACTATTATTCTGGATTGTCTGTTAAGCTATGCTAGAGATCGACTGGATACTTTTAAGGTCCATGTCACACACTAGACACTATTTCCACTGCAGCATACTCCAAGCACATTCGGTTATATAAACGCAGAAAACAGGTCCAGGCGCCATTTCTAAGCACAGTCGCAACCAGGTCAACAAAATTAGCGCAACAACAATCCAAACAAACCAATGCGTACGTATAATACACTGCTGGTTTGATCGATACCTCAGGCGCATCCGTCAATGTCTGGATAAAGCCTCTTGCTCATAGTGTATTGTCATAGTGTCATGAATTGTATTGTATTAAACAATCTATATTGACGCCTCTTCGCGTAGTGGAATAACGTCTCGTGTACATCATGGGCTTCAAAATAATGAGCGTTGCAGACGAGGAGTCAGTAGGGCCTTTTAGATTTGCACGTCGACATAGTGGACTGCTACTTGTGACGTCCTTATAAGGCAAGGAACTGCACTGTGACGTCCTTTTATTAGATGACAATAATTTATTATGCACACAAAAAAAAATCATGAAAATTCTTTGACGTATGAAGGGGTTTGCTTATCGAAAAACTCGGACAATAATCGTTTGATTTAATTAATTGGAAATTTAATGTACAACATGTTTTCTTATTCACGATTTAAATTCGCCAAGACCTTCATTTTCACGTTTCTTTACGAAACATTTATCGTGATCACCCATCTTGATTTATCTTACAGACCAACGAATCTAGCCATAGACATACCAGAAGTGCATGATGCCATCCGCTCTGGTGACGTCAACCTACGTCATTACCTGGCGCAGCAGTTCAATTCACCCAAAACATGGGATGATATCACATGGCTCAAGTCGATTACGTCACTTCCAATCGTGCTAAAGGGTATTCTTACTGGTAAAGAACACAGAGCTTTAGCTAAAGTTTGATGATATTACTTTAACACGTGGTGGAAGTGGCACAGAGAAGTGGATTGAGATGGATGTGTCATGTGTTCATGAGAAGGGAAGATGAAGGATTGTGAAAAGAGCGTGGGATCTTGAAGTGGGTGGTATAAAACGGAAAGGAAAACCATTTTGGGGTGAAAAGCAGGCGATTTCTTTTCATGACCGGGGGGACGAAATGCGAGGGGCGAAGGCGACGGAAGTGACTATAACCAGGCAGGCAGCGGAATGTTCATTTTTGTTACTATTACGTCACTATTACACTATTACTATAACTCTTAATCTTGTAAACGTACAGTGTAAACTGTGCTTACGTGATACCAACGAAATACAGATTTTCTACAATATTTACTCGTACATTTTGAATGTTATGCGAAGGAGCGTAGCGACCGAGCGAGAAGATTTTTGCAATTGTATACGTCTAAACGCTGCACTCTTTGGCCCTCCTGAGCATAAAAATCTGTTGCAGTCTTTAGTCAGTATGTGCTAAACATTGTTATTTGGCGCTTTTTCTAATTTTCCGAGAGGAACGACGGGGGGACGTGTCCCCCGTTCCCCCGGGATCGCTGCCACTGGTGAAAAGATAAGGTGAACAAAAAAAAATCAGTTAGGTTGGTCTCAATGAGGAGGATGCTTGAGATAGGAAGAAGTGGAGGGAGGAAGTGTCATCTTGGCGCAAAAGTCAGTAACCCCTCGTACGATGGATATTGCTGACTTTGGTGATAATGACGATGATGATGTTATCAGTAATAAGCTAGAATAACTGTTATAAGCTACTGAAATCCTTGCATTTGATTGGTTGTGAGATACTTTGTTTTGGTTACAGACTTTATGAAACAGGGCACTGGAAAATAAATGGATGGAGTAACTACATCGGTATTTAAACGTCTCTATCAAGACTGTTGTTTCACGATGAGATTCAAAGAGAGGCGAGTGGTGATGAACTACTCGAAACCATCGATGCAAGATACGCAGATAGACTAGCTACCCTTGTATCTAACTATATCTATGTATGTCTCTCTTGTCTGTGGATACGGCTGAAACCGCTTCCAGCCTCTGGAATCATTATTTGAGACACTGTCGTTTTCAAGAGAAGCGATCGATGACGAACGCTCCGCAGTCATCGGCGGAAGACACTTAGATGGACTACTTTCTCCTGGATCTAAACATATCTGTGTATAATATTTTGCCTCTGGATAAGGCTGATGCAGCTTTCAGTCTCTTGTAAGCTCTGATAGAAACAGAGTCGTAAATACTTAAAATCATCCTATGACAATTCCAAAAGCCCTCTACATCGCTGTTATGGACAGTATGTAATCAATACATGATTTCTTCGGGATTAACAGTTGGGTATTGAAATTGCTCTTGTGAGTTGGTATTTGCGATGATGTTTAGAATATCTCCTCCCATAACTTCTTGATTCTCGTTACAGGCGAGGCTGCGATGGAAGCGGCTGATGCCGGAGTCTCTGGAATCATTGTATCAGCTCACGGTGGAAGGCACATGGATGGAGTACCTGCTCCGGTAACGAATGTTGCTTTTGGGGGCATTTGTATAGCATGAACACATGTTAATAAGACTTTTGAGGGGGCACTCGTTTTATAGGAAAGTTATTTTCCCTTGTGCCTATTCGGCAGGAGGAAAGGTGATGTGGGCCACAAAAGTATTCCCAGAAAGGTTATGAAATCAACAGAAGTACTATGGGAAGCTTCCTTTTACCTCTAAAGTTTTTTTTGTTGTTAAATGCACCCTTCAATCCTACACCACGAAAGAGGGCTTTCCCGCCATCTATCTTACCGTAAAATCTCACCGTAATAGAGTGGTGAAGTGTGACGTCATCAAAAATCTATTTTTAGAATTTCTCAATTTTTTCTTCCTTTTCCGAAAGAGCATCAAAAATAATGTCTGAATGTCAAAAACGGTTCATAACATTAGGAACCAGAGCACTATAACACTGAGTTCCCATAGGACATATATTTATTCAGATGGTCATATCTCAGCCAATACTTAACAAATTCAATTGGTTTACGACATTCGGACATTATTTTTTATGCTCTTTTGGAAAATGAAGAACAAATTAAGAAATTCTAAATATAGATTTTTATGATGACACAGCTTCGATACTTTATTATCCTCTCTAATTTCTCAAAATTTCATTGCTGTCAAGGAAGTGAATTATGTTCATAACCTCGTGTAAGGGAAAGTACAATTAGCAATTTAATTTTTTCACAGATTGACGTCCTTGAGGAAGTAGTGTCAGCGGTCAAAGGTCGTGGGGTTGAGGTTTACATGGATGGAGGGGTACGATCAGGAACCGATGCACTCAAGGCTCTCGGATTGGGGGCACGGGCAGTACTAATAGGTAGACCAGCCCTCTGGGGGCTAGCTTGTGATGTAAGTAGCTGGGAACTCATGGGCCAGGAGACTATACCGATCGATCTTACTGAGACTTAGACTTAAACTTAGACTAATCCGGGGAGTAGCGTGTGAAGTATAAGTTTAAGTATAATAAGTATAATAATTTATTGTCCTTTGCAGGAAATTTGATTGTGATGTAAGTAGCTGGGAACTCCTAGGCCAGGAATATGGAAGGAGCTGAGAATTCACGGGCCAGGAGACGACCGAACGGTCTTACTCAGACTAAGAATTACACGTATAGTCAGGGGAGTATTAAACGTGTGAATATGAAAGGAGCTGAGAACTCACGGCCAAGGAGACTACCGATCGGTCTTACTCAGAATTTACTCTTACCTTGTTTTAGACTAGTCTATGGAGTAGCGTAAGGAGTTTAGAACTCACAATTCATTTAATTGCAATCTTGTACTTCTCGTATGCTTATTACAGTTGTACGCATGATATCCGCGGCTAATATATCTATGTTCCGGCACATATACAAACCTTCATATTTTAGGTTCATTTTCATATTTCTAATTCTTTTTCTTTTTCACAGGGTCCGGCTGGAGTTACTAAAGTATTGTCAATCTTACGGTTCGAACTAGAGACAGCTCTAGGCATTTCAGGTAAGTTTACCATGTCTGCCTGTCCAAAATCAGTTTTTAATCGATCGAGTTGACTTTTGTTGTTTCATCTGTTATGTTATGACAGATAATGTTTATTAATATTGTCGTTAAGTCTTACAATATCTCTTTGTAGACGTAATATATATAGCTCGTATTATCAATATACCCCTAACATACAGAGCAAATAATATATTTATATATATATATATATATATATATATATATACATATATATATATTATGATGGTTGGTACACTTTAAGTTAATACATACCTTATGAAATTACGCTGTTTGCTTGATATTTGACAGGTTGCACCAATATTCAAGACATTCCGCCATCATTGATAGCTCGGAAATCTTACCTATGAATTCACCCTCATCGATCGAACTCCGTCCAGCTGACAGGAAGCTAGGAGGCACACGGATGCCACTCCTGTTCATCCGAAAACAATCTGGAACTTCGGAGCTGGTTAAGACCTAAACCCTACCCCCAACTCTCTATCTCTTTCTCTCTCTCAACTGATTGGTCGATCAGATACACCCTAAAGTAAAGCGTAAGAATTTTTATTTGGGATTTTTCGTTAATTACTAATTACGTAGCATGTTTTGTAAAATGGAACATGTGATTATGTAATTGTAATTTAAAAAAACATCTTTTAAGATCAAACTGGTTTATTCCGATTAGGATGAAAACCAAACTGACAGAAAAACAGGGTCGACGTCCCACGGCCAACTCTCTCTCTTTTTGTATTCGAACCTATGGATCGAACGCCCGAAGTTGTGTGGATGCACGTGTTCGGTGGGTGTGCTGTGTGTGCGCGTATGTGTATGTGTGTATAACTATGTACCTCTGTAATTTCGTGTGCTAACTCTTCGTGCAAAATCGGCATTTATTGTTAAAGGAAACTATTTTTCCAGACTCTTTTCAATCGTGACATAATTCGACCCTCGTTACACTCCATTCAATAAAGACCTACTTATATCTTAAAACGAGAGCATTATTACCAATTAAAATCAGTCCCGTCATAATAGTCTAAAGGAAGTACAGAGCTAACAACTTAATGGTTCCTCTCTAACCTTTCAGACCATGTAGAGCAAGTCGAAAATATACTACGTTCATGTCATTACATCACAGCACACTACATCATGAACGATCCATGGATCTTTTCAGTGTAACCATTCAGACTACTACTAATGATGACAATAGTAGTAGTAATGATACAAATATTGATAATAATAATATTAATAGCTACATTTATGTTGCGCATGATTGTATCTAACCAGGGGAATGCTCAATGTGAGCATTCATCGAGGATTAAATTCCTACTAGATACCCATTTACTAGTGGAGATTTACAAGTGGAAATACTCAACTCAATAGAATTTTACTATTGCAAAAGAAAGCAATACGAATCATTTGTCACCCCAATTTTCGCGCTCATACTAATGAACTCTTTCACGCAAATAATGTTTTGAAGATTCATGACTTATTTTCCTATAACTTGGGTATATTTATGTATGTACACTAGAAAAAATGAATCGCCACAAGTTCTCTCAAATATGTTAAACAAAAATTCTGAATTTCATAGTTATCCCACGAGAACAGCAAAATGTTATCACCTACCAAAGCCAAGAACGGTATTTTCCAGCAGGATTTTTACTTTCACTGGCCCAAAATATTGGAATGCCCTTCCTGGCACATTAAAAGAAAAAAACCTCATTAAGTGGTTTCAAAAATGCCCTCAAGCACTTTTTGTTGCAAACTAATCAGAATAAGCAATTCCCCTCTCGGTCTCCCTCTACCCCTATCTCCGTCTTCTTTTTCTCTTTCTGCATGTTTTCCCCCTTTTTCTGTGTTTTACTCTCTCATTCTTATTTTCTTCATTTATCATCATGTCATTCTGCTAATGTTTGTGATTTGTTTTTGTCTCGTTTAATTGTTAGTTTTGTATTGTCTGTCATGTTTTTTCGATTCCGTAATTTTTTTCAAAATTAAGTTATAAATGTATAAAGTATAATTATTATTGTGCGAACCTACGTCTAACAAGCTTTGCTTTCAAGTAGGTTCGTTTTTTTTTCATTTCCTGTAATTTCCTGTAATAATATCTTGTCAAAAGACGTAAGTGCTGTGATGGGGCTCGAACCGCGAACCATGTGATCTACAGTCCGATGACATATTCACTAGACCACGACACCTAATAGAAATAATGATAATAATGATAAAGAAGAAGGAAAAGAAAAATAACTCTAAATTCATACGTATAGTGCCTAATACGAAAGATAAGTCTATAAATTCTGTACGGATATTTCTGTTAAGTATCCCGTCATCGAAATTCATTTACAAGATGTGCACGTCATCTATATTCGTTGGGAACTATTTGAACCATATCATAATCGTAATTGGATAAGACTTTCATTCTACCAAGACCCCATTGCTCTCCTGGGTATGGAGTGTCAAATGTAGATTAATGTCTTGCCAAAGTAATATGTGATTTTCTATTCATTCATATTTTCTTCTTTCTATAACTCCATTAAATAATTACCATCATTAAATAGTGCTGTCTTTTCATCTTGCATCATACCAAAATCAAAGAAATTAATAAAGGCTGGGAAAGGAAAACGTTAATTATTTCTTTGGTTTTATTTCTGCGTTAAAAAAATAAAAATTCAAACTACAATTATAAAAATCGAACAATAACAATGAATGAAATGTTTGCAAAAGTAATTAAATAGAAAATCAAGTACAAAAATAAACTTATACGAAGCATACAAATGAGATAATAAATATATGGTAAATATTTTCAATAAATTAAAGAGGTCATTTATAACGCAGGAGACCGCCATCATGAGCGGTTAGGCTGGAGATGGATAGCGGCCTCGTTACCCTATATATATATATATATATATAACCCCATCTCCTACCCGCACCAACCAAAATTGCTGAATTTCTGGCTGAAATTACATGAATCATCAGCTCCATTTTATTTTTGTCCAATAATGACATGGTAATTCATTGTGGGATATAACATATTGCGTTTTACATTAAAATCTGTATAAAAAGACATCAAAAGCATGACCTTGAAATATGAAATATTTACATTCGAAATCTGTTTAAAATTGGAAAAACATAACATCGACACAATGCACAATATACAGTAAAAAGGCCCTAAGATTAGTACACAGTACCCCCGATCCCTGCACCCCCCCCCCCCGAATATCATCCCAAGCCGGTGTACGCCTAAAGAGACAGAGACGGTGATAAATAACGAGACAAAGATAGGGAGATAGGAAGAGGAAGATCAATATAGAGAGACATGAACTTGAAGAGAGACAGAGAGAGACGGAGAGAAAAGAAAGAGAGGTAGAGAGAAACAGAGAGAAAAGAAAGAGGTAGAGAGAGAAAGGGGGGAGGTGGAAGGGAAGGATCGAGACAGGGGCAGAGAAGGAATCCCAACCCACAGTTCGGGGAAACCCGAATTCAGAGATATTGCACATAGTTCATACACAGGCTATATTTTAAACGTGATGATAGACGTGTAAGCCATTCCAAGTAAAAACAATAACATGAACGCATAGGTATGCAGGTATGCAAATCTCCCTCGCATTTAACAGTATTTAATTCATCCCCAAAATTAAAAAAAAGTGCAACCGCAAACTTTAACATAAACGAAGAACCAATCTTATCGTGAAAAAAGAACAATATTACAGCTAGGTGTATTTTTATTGCTATTATTAAACAAATAAGAACAATTCACCCCTACTTGTTATGGTGTATTTGCTATAATGATATGTACCCCCCCCCCCCAAAAAAAAAGGAGAATTGTGAAGGTTAACTAATAGTATACTTTCTCAAACTTACACTTCATGGTTTCGTTAATTATCCAGAGTGTCCCTGAAAGGAGAAAGTTTGTCAGTAAATTTCTTAAGAATTCCAAATAGATTATCAATAATACAACAGAGGTCCTACGTGTGTTCATTGACCTATCTACGTTCTATATGATGGAGAAATGAGAAGTGTATAGCAATTACGACAGCATTAAAATAAAATCCGCCCTGGATTACCGCGTCACGTCTATCAAATGAGGCTGTTGCTGGATCCTATGGTACGTAAAGGAGGCGATTCGGAGAATCGTATCCAGGATCAGTGACCAAGTCTTTTGTGGACATCTCTATGACTTTTGCTGCGATTTCTGCCGGTGTCAGGTTGGGATTGTTAGCCAGAAGGATAGCAACAGCACCTACATCATGTTAAACAATTACAACAAAATTAGAGTTCAAGTTTAACAGTGCCTATATTTCGAAACAAAGACAAATTTAAGGGGATTGAGTTTGTTTAACATCGCCTTGTTTTTTAAACGAAGAGAGAAATTTAGGAGTTTTAAAATGTTTGTCACGCCTATTTTTTAAATATTGACAAAAATCCGGGGTTTCAAATGTTAATCTACACTGTCAAATGGTTAAAACTGCACAATTACTCGTAACGAACACAGAGCAATCCAACATTTCGACAAAATGCAATCACATAGCTCCGTTAAGTCTCATTTGACAACGCCCCCTATCGTCAGAGTCCAGCAGCCTATAAACATGTTAGCCTATGGACTTTCACCCCAAAAATCGTTAAAAATTCATTTTTTGTTGTTTAAACGAAAAGCACATCCACCCTGACGTACGTTGACACTAGCTCTTTCATTGGAACCCTCATGTCCCATTGACTTTTGAAACTTCACCCACCGTAATTTGATCAAAATAGGTCGCAAGCTCGCCATTGCATATATAACGCATGTGTCCAACTTTGAACGCAATTTACGACGCGATTATAAGATTATAAGGTCAAGCACACGAAGGATAAGAAGCATGAATTATCATAGATCAGTTCTGCTTGGTTCATTATGTCCACTTCAGCCAACCCCCCCCCCCCCCACCCGTCATTTTTCCTTAGTATAGGCAAACATTTTGCCGAGGTAAGCAAAAACATGAATATTCATGACACACCATGGACTATTCGATTATTAACAGAGGGGTGCAATGATGCACCACATCAAACTCCCCTACTTTCAGTCAAGTATTTCATTGTATTATGTAGTTTGGTAGGTTTATTTTACTAACTGTTTAATCATCATATATCAATGGTAGTTTAAAGATATGGAAAAGGTTCTTGTATTTTATATTTAGCAAAGCAATCTCACATACAAAATCACTATCAAGTGTCGTCTGATCCGCCGATTGCCGTCTGCTATATACGTTCTATAGACGGCGAACTAGCTACGTTTGCGCTGGCGAAAACGAGACAACCGGAGCAATATGATCAATAAGTTCAGATTCATTGTTGATGTTGTTTGTTTATTTTGTTGGTTGTCATCTTGTTTTGTTGTTGTCATCATTAAGTGAAAGAGTACTCACCTGTGACGTGGGGACAAGCCATTGATGTACCACTGAATGTTCGTGTCTCCTCTATACCTCCGATATATGCACTTGGGATGTCCACACCAGGGGCAAAGACATCCACACACTCTCCATAGTTGGAGAAATAGGCCCGTTCATCGTCTACAGCTGTAGCCCCGACAGTTATCACCTGCAATAATTAACAGAAGATCGATCGAGACCAGATTAATAACTTTAGTCACATTTGTATTTTACAATGTAATTATTAATACCCGGTTATTCAAGTTTCAAGTTATTTATTTCACTTAATCAAAAATAACATAATTGAACATAATGAACAATGGTTATCCTTTTAACTAAACATACAATATAGAAACATAATGTACATGATAATAGTTATAACAGAGAATACAATCATATAAATCAATCAATAAAGTGGGGTATCTACTAAAAAGCAAAGCTTGTATTATGTAGGTCCCGGTTCATAGGTTTGTGCATAAATAAGGGTATCTGAATTAACATATTTACAAAAGCATATGATTACACGAGGGTTATCTTTAAGTGACACATTTTACTGAACATATCGTAAACAATTGAAAAAAAGGAAGAGTACTGTGCTTCCCTTCGCATAAACAAATATATATATATATACATTAAATAAAATGATCAGTGCTAATTTTAGCGCTACTTTTGCGGAGGGAAAGAATAATTGCAAGGAAAAAAATTCAGAAAAGAGAACAGAGTATTCCCATGGGGGTATTCCGGCGTATCCTACCGGGTTTCCATTAAATACATGGGTAGAGAGAAGTAATGAATGCCTTGCTTATATCAGGACTTTCAGTGCCGTGTCGAAAGTCGAACCAACGACCTACGCATTTCCACTCGACCTCTAAGGAAGGTGTTACGATTGCATGTTCTACAAAAAAAAAACTATTACCAAGATGAATATATGAACACACACGTAAATGTGCATATCCTTTTTTCTTTGTGTACATGTATGGCAAATTAGGGTTTTTTTCGGGGGAGGGGCTGGGGCCACTTCTTTCAGTCCCATCCAGCCCCCCCCCCCCCCCCCTTTCCCGTTCACCTTCGCCCGACTAAGATTGGATGGACTCACCTGTTCGACCCCGGCAGGTGAGTATCGGCATGCATCATCATCGGAGTTACCAGCGGCTGCCACTACAGTGATCCCGGCATCGATGATGAGAGACTTCAGGGCATCATCTAATGCATAGTTGCGGCCGCCTCCAAGCGACATGGATGCTACCGCTGGCTTTTGGCCAGATGTCGCCACAAAATCAACACCTGAAGTGAAAATGAGATGATAATAGTAAACTTTAAAAAAATAATTTTGTATACAGTCAAATATGTCTCGTTGACCACCTCTCCATCTCTTCATAAAGGCCGTCTGTCTTTAGTGGCCATGTGTTTTGTCTCATTCAAGAAAGAAACTGTTGTACATTGCGTATACAAAAAAGTGTACCCAACTTTAAAACTTTAAAAATGTATAACCATATATGACCTTGAATCATATTCAAAGGGAAAGCGTAACTTATACCCTGTGTAATGATACCATATTCATATTTGAGCTGCCACGTATGACTGAGCAGCAGGTTTTTCAAAAAGTATTGTCAAAATCCTCTTGTACCAAGTTTGAGCTAAAGCAATATTATTTACATTGACCGTCAGGCAGTTAAAATGCTTATGACAAGCAAAATGTAGGACATTCTGTTCATTAAATATGATTACAATCTTGACTTCATTCGCATCCCTTGTTTCTTCTCATTAGTGAATAAAATGGATTAAACTGAGTGTCAAATTTGAAAGAACATGAAATTTAAATGAAAACAAAATTCATCATTGTTTGATCAAAATCTGTTCAGAGATGCTGAAATATCCATAAATAAAACAATTTCTAATATGTGTAGGGCCCCACAAATATTCGATAATTTTGAACCAGCCGTTGAAAAAAAGAGATAGCGCCTTATACGTTTTATTCCAGCCAATGCCAATATTGGCTTTGTAATCTTTTTCGTGTTGGTTTATAATACGCACAACCAGCCAGCCCGTGTATTGTTATAATTAATTAATGAACTGTCTCCGTGTTTTTTTAAAGTGGAGCTGAATTGGTATGATCGTATTTTATTTAAATTTTTTTTTACATATTTTGGGGTCTAAAATTACCTTCATAGCAATTTTAAGTTCCTAAACGAAAACTAGAAATGTCATAACTAAAAATAAGAGCAATCACCATGCACTTTGAAGACATTTGCAGTCTTAAACAGAGCGCTTAGAGACTGTAGAGCGCTTAGAGACTTCTGATAAAGCAAATTCAATTCAATTCAAAAAGAGTTTATTCATCAAATGATTAGCAGCCAAAGGCTGAATTGCACATTTGTTACATTTAAAGATATACAAAATAAATTATTGAAAATAGATACATACAAACAAAATTGCAAAGTGCACGTTACAAACCAATAGTAAATGTTAAAAGTTTAAAAAGTGATGAGTGGCAGTGGGCATTCTCGTGGTGATGGGCACACATGTCCAGGAGGTGGGCCCCTTCCCCTTCAAAAAAAATAATTCATCAAACGACCCCCTCCCCCCTATAACTATAACTAGAGCCGATTATTATTATTATTATTAAACAAGAACTTATTCGCTATTTGAAATAAACACCCTATGCTCCTTATGCGTGTGATCAATGCCACAGCAGACCAGTGAGCAGAAATGATTTAGCAATGAGACAAGAAGTTAGTAGGCTGTTCAAAATAATTCATAGATTGAAACAAGGTTCTGTGAAAGCCTAGATACAATGCATAATTCTAAACAATAAAGAACTGAAGCACGAGGCATAATTCAACTTTTACAAGGATTTAAGCCACAGAGGCACATGCATATGACCTGACTCACAGTCGTTCCATCAGCCCAAACTTGGAACAAGGCAATTTGGACAACACCTTTTACAGACCCTGGTGTTCAGAATATCATTGGACAGAAAAAAGGTTACTCATTCTATGAAATAGATTTTGAAGTCATATTGGTCATGACTTTTTAATTAGGAGCTACCGAAGTTGGGTACACTTTTTTGTATACGCACTGTATAACATCTCTAAGAAGGCTACCTGTCTGCAGTGCCACTGTTTTTCTTCTGTTTCCCATGGGTGATCTTAATAGACAGGTTTGACTGTATAAATATGTGATTTTCGATTTAACATGTTTAATATTCCTATCAGCTTCAAACACGATCAAAATGCCTCGTTAGTCACTTTCTGAAATGTGCGTACATAAACATTATTTCTACGGAGAATTCGATAAGGTATCATTTGAAAATGCCCTTGAGTTCATTTATTTGTGTATTGATATATACACTCACGCGCAAACGCCCCCCCCCCCACACACACACACATATATATATATATACTGTTAAAGCATGTGTATGCTACTATGCGTGTCAACTAGAAGACCTACGTCCCTGTCTACGTCCTTAAGTCATAACTAACAGTAATGAGGATTAAAGATACCATGTCCCTTTTGCAGCCAACATAAAATTCTGTAGAACTTTGCAGGAATTATGAATATGTCATATATGTCTTATCTGTGAAATTTAAACGTTAGCAGTGTCCTAATATTCAAATTATTCAAGGAAACCCGTTTACTTGCTAGACTTCACTGTCAGACACTATTGAGTGACTGACTTGGTTTTTTTTGGTAATAACATACATAAAATAGTTACAAAGGGTACATGAGCATTTTTATAGATCAATAACCCACTTCTTATAATGGCCAAAATTAAATTGATTGAATCTTTGCGCAGCACAAAACGTACGACCATTCGGTACAATGGTCTAAAAATCAGACTATTACTTACTGACTTGGTAGCACTTAAGTCGATTCGACAACAATTAGTCGTTACTTTCCCACTTAGACATTTTCAAGCCCCCCCCCCCCTCATTTTTTTAAAGAAAGTTCTTAATTAGTATTTTCTTTCAAATGCCGTTGGAATTTAATCTTTTCATTTTTTGACCTGCAAAGCGGGGGATAGGGTAGGGGCAGCCCCCACAAATAAAAGCAAACACAAAAAATGCCTTGTACAATAATGCACGACCGTACAGAGGAATTTTTTCTCTTGAGGACCGGGGGAAAATGCAATGAATTATTGATAATTTATTGCACTTCGTTTTTTATTCGTGGGGGGCTGCCCCCTACCCTAGCCCCCGCTGCGTACAGTCATGATTCAATGGCAAAGCAATAGCCTCATAATCGTGAGGCCCCATGACCATAACCGTGTCGATGTGCTATATTAGTGCCCTTTTGCGAGGCATTAATCCTCATTATTGTCAGTTATAAAGGACGCAGGTCCCCTAGTTGATATTAAAAAGCATAGTAGCGTGCACATGCTTTAGCAGTCACGCAAAACAAACGCTCGAAAAATAATATTCAATACAATCTGAGAATGTATACTATTATCTAGATCTATTAGGAATAAATCATTTTCAAAATCATTCCATAAATTTGGGTGAAAAAAAATATTCCACCTTTATGACCAACAGTGTATTTTTGTATTTATATAGATATATGACTACACATTTGAATTACGTACCTGCAACGACCCCGCTCCATGAGCCACTTCCACGACAGTTTAATACCCTTACACCAAACAGATTGACACCTTTGGCCACTCCGTACAGGCTACTCCCTACTGTCCCAGCACAATGGGTTCCATGACCTTGACAGTCAATTCCCTGTGGCAAAAACAATAACCACGGTAATGTCAACCACATCAATCTACCTGGTCGAAAATACACTCGTGATGAGATTTTACATTAAATTCAGGAATCGATCATGAACAATCAAACGAAATCGGGAGCATTCAGAGGCTAATTTGCCACAACAAGCAGAGTAAATAGTATAGATTTATTGACTGCTATGATAGGCATCGCTGTTTCTATAGGCTCATGGGGACGTTACATGCTGCTAGGTCATCGGCAGGATGTAACGTCCCCTAGAACCAGTATAGAAACAGTTATGCTTCAAATATTACAGCAATCCATGCAATCATAAATCTTTTATATACCGAATTCACAAACAGATCTACAAAGAATTCTTATCTCATCCTTTTCTTGAGTAAAGACTGGTTAAAACATCACAGAAAATCTGAGACTGTCTGTAAATGTTTGCTAGAACTGCATTGTATTTTGTATCCGCCCTCACACAAAGAGACTGTTTACACGTTCCTAGAAGGTTCAGTTTCTGCCCTTTCATATGACACCTCAATCAGGAAAAATGAGCAAGGAATGACAAAGTTCTCTTCGTTTAAAGTGATGCTTGCATTTCCATAATTTGATTAAACGAATTCGTTTTCACTGACTGCCTGCCGTAGCAACAAACGGAATTGACAAAAGACTTAACTCCGTTTTGTCGACAATTAGCCGTATACGAAAGACTTCATGCAGAGGAGTGGAGAGTGTGCACTGCAAATCGCAGAGTCGTAATTAGTCCAGTGACTGGGGTAATAATAATACTGTAGCGCTTTGGTCTGATAATTTTATTATTACTATTATTATAATCATTACTATTATTATTATTGTTTGCAGTGGTAGTAGTAGAAGTGTGGATGAGAACACTTACGTAATCCCCTTGACCAACGGAATCAAAGGCAGCCACGGCTCGACCTTCAAAGTAAAGACTATCTGGAGCGATGCCAGTGTCGAGAACATAGACGTTAACGCCTGTGCCATCGCCTATGGGGAGGCGGCCGGAAGAAGACAGGTTGGGAGAAAGAGTTTATAACGGTGCATCAGTTTATTTTTTAATTTTTTTTGCCAGGGTTGATATAAGTAAATCGTTACACCACGTTTGTTATATTGGGTAAAACAGAATACATACAAGAAAATTCACTGGTAATATACAATACTTCATTTGGGGAAACCATACCAAAATTGCTGAGAAGTATAACTTTATCGAACAACCGACGTAAACATTTTCTTCATAGATGTTCAGTCATTCAGTTCACTGACGCATGTAGGGGCACACATATTCAATATTCAAGATTCAAGATTATTTTATTGGTCCATGTATGCGAACATTACATAGAAATTTAGCTTCCAATTGCTTTTTTGACAGTGAAAATACAAATGATAGAAATACAATATAACATTTAACAATAGAAAACGATATACATAAATATGGATAATTATTTATAATGTGCACGTGCCCCTCAATTTTATATTGCCTACAATTAACATGAATTAAAATGTCTCATAATATAATATTTCCCGTTAGATCCTCCCCCCCCCCCCATCCTCTAGCTCCCGATCCACAGTCTCCAGTCATCCGTTTAATTGCACTTTAATAGCAGTTACTGAAGTGCAACCAAACGGATAGCTATCGAAAACAGTAACAAATCCAGTAGGAAATATATGATTATGAAGATAGGTTATAAACTTAAATTATTTCTTACTTTCTTGTGACTATCTATGATTGAATTGTGAATTGTTAGTAATTACCTGAAAACTCTGCTCTTCCATTTAAAGGCAACTGTCTCTGGTCAACACGATCTAAGCCCCAGGATGCAACAGCTGATGTACGGGCGACGCCATCTTGGGTTATGTACTTTATTTCTTCTCTGGCTAGCAGCTTTAAAAATGGATATATGATTCAGAGGTATTAATACAGCTGATATGAGTGAACCTGGTTACAATAAATCGAGTAACTGTTACTAGAGATCGATTTTGTTGAGCACTATGTATTGATAAGGCAAACTCTAAGGTGAATATCGTCAAACTTATTGTTTTATCTCTCATCTGACTAGCAGCATAATATATTCAATTAATGGCTTTTAAAGAAGATTACACATTACATATATTAGTGAAGCTCCTTTACAAGAAATCAAATTTATATTATCAAGGGTCATAGTTGTAAAGCAATACGTTTACTATTATGACAACTTATAATTAGGGAAGTATGATAAGAAAATTACTCATGCTTTGATTTCTTCTCGCTTGGATTTTGGTTATGGCCTTTTGTTTAGTTCGCCTCACAACCTACTCGCAAAATTACAAAGATTACAGAATGCTGCTGCTCGTGTCGTGACCCTGTCCAACAAGTACAGTCACATCACACCAGTCCTCAAATCACTCCATTGGTTGCCCGTAGAAAAACGTGTTGTTTTCAAGATTATTTTGCTATTATTTCACTGTATACATGGCTCTGCTCCGCAGTATAACATCGGCTTGATTAAGCATTACTTTCCTTCTAGACAGCTACGTTCTCAAAACTCTGGCTTACTTGTTACTCCTAGGGTTAAAACAAAGTGGGGGGAGCGAACCTTCGCTCATGCTGGGCCTTCGTTATGGAATACTCTCCCTCAATGGGTTAAGAATAGCAGTTCTGCTGAAGTGTTAAAAAACAATCTTAAGAAATATCTGTTTAATTTAGCTTATAATTGATTACCATTACCTTTCATGTCTGTACCTTTCCTATCGCACTTTGTATAAATGTATCATGTATGTATTTCATCTTTTGCACAAGCTGCGCCTTGAGCATTTGACTGTCAAGTGGATTTGGCGCCTTATAAATCATATGTATTATTATTATTATTATTATAAACTTCATAATCTTCTTTTACACAAGATTTATCTCCAGTCGGATCATCACTGTGGTTCGTTATCCCTATAACTGACAGATCTATAAGGGGAAAGAAACGACCCGTCCTCCACGGTCTTTTTTTAACCACATCGGGCATTTCAAGTACTCAAAAGGATTAGTTTTTGCTTTTCAGATATTTTACAGCACTAGTACCGAATTATCAGAATATTTGATACGCCCTAAATTCTAAGCACTAGTATTAACTTCATTGACAATATTCAAAAATGCCTTTATTATTGTAGTTGATGTGATTATCATCCCCAGACTTGCCTTTATGGTGCTAAATAGTATCTGCAGCATCGCGTTTCTTACTGTTGTTATCGTAATCACGTTTGCTATTTACCTTTTCGACAGCTCCTTTGGAGAGTTTAGCCGAGAAGCCCTGAATGGCTGTGGTGTACGTATACTCGATATGAGCACCATCGAAGATTCCTGAAACGTCTTCCAAGATCAGTATCTTGATGGGATCAATATCATAACCAGGCTGTGAAGAATGATTAAAATATAACAGCATAAGATTAATAGTCAGTCTCATCTGAGCGATGAGTTTGGTCTCCTGGGCCTTTTGCAATCTCTTTCGAGGGTTCACATTATATAAAACGATCGTCCACAACAAAGAATAACAATGTCGGCAACATTTCAAAACAAACAGCAAAATGAAATGGTAGATTTAAAGAATGAATTGCTGTCAAATTTAAATTCTAAAACAAAAGTCAATGAAAAACGATAAAAGCTTTGACTGGTATTCTAAGATAATGCTTTGATTGTATGTGTATAAACGTTATTGTGAACGTTTTAGATATGTGAATTAAAGCTCCCTGGAAGCTAGGGTTAAAACGAAAAGATAAAAATTATGTTGGCAAACCCAGTAGGATATCATAGTCCCAAAATGTACGTCCCTACAAGAATATGAACTGAGCCATTCTTTCTTTTTTTCTAATTATTAATCGGCAGCATTTTGTTTCTCTCACCTGCATCACGATTATGTAGTGGTCATCAATCGACTCTTCTACGGTGTAAAACGTGGCGTTCTTAGCAGTCGCGGCGACCACGAAGGCCGACAATATTACGACGATCAACTTCATCATTCACCTTCCTACCAGCAAAGATACCAGCAAAGATACCAGCAAAGATATCCCGATAAGTTGATATAATAACTTTATTGATTCACTTCTGAGTCTGCTAAAGTTCTGCTTTCCAGTGGCAATAGACTGATGATCCAACAGATATTGGTTTTATACAGAACCCGACAAAAAACTGGCTCATTTCATTTTAGAAATAAATTCTAATCTATGCACTGCCCATATTGTTTGTTCTTTTTTAAAGTGCACACAAAACCCTCAGATTAGGCAGCTGGTACCAGAACACGCCCTAAATACTGGACACAACATTCAATGGGATGATGCCCACATACTATTGAGTTTGAAACGCACTTCTGGTCAAGAATGTTAAAAGAATCCATCTGCATAAAAAGAATTTATCTTTCACTGAATAGGAATTCTTGCTATACATTGCACTGCCCCTATATTTTGTGCACAGAAAGCCCTCAGATTAGGCAGCTGGTACCAGAACACGCCCTAAATACTGGACACAACATTCGATGGGATGATGCCCACATTATTGAGTTTGAAACGCACTTCTGGTCAAGAATGGTAGAAAAATCCATATGCATAAAAAGGATTAATCTTTCACTGATTAGGGATTCTTGCTATACATTGCACTGCCCCTATAATCAAGTTCACTGTCGCAGTCTGAGCATTAGTAGATTAAGGTCATTGCAGAACAAATTGTGAACTACACAAAAAACAAAATACTGGACACGTGCTCGTGAAAGTTATGTAATCATTATCCATGTATGCACAAGCAGTGCACTCCATGGTACACAGGTGGAAGTATAAAGGGGAAACAAAGGTTGTGTAGCACCTCCATCGCCTGTGGCGGATCCAGGGGGGGGGGACGGGGGTCCGCCCCCCCCCCCTGGCAAAAACAAAGAAGGAAAAAAAGGGGAAAGATGTTTTTGTTTTTTGTGTGTGTGCGTGTGTGTGTGTGTGTGTGATAAAGAAAGCAACAACAAAAAAAGTGTTCCTTCGCCTCCCCCAGCCACTGAACAAAATATGATACCACGTAATTTTCTTATTTCCGGGGACAAAAAAAAAAAAAAAAAAAATTGCTCATCGTACCGTGATTAAATGCCTTAGAACCCCTGAGCTTCCGGGGGCTCTGCCCCCTAGATTTCAGGGCCCAAAACCAGGCACCTTGATGCTCATCTGACGGTAATTTAATGCTTAAAACCCCTGAGCTTCTGGGGTCTCGGCCCTCTGGACCTCACGCCAATTAGTTTCCTGCCAGTGTCACAAATGACGTATCAAAATATGCTTATCTGACCGTAACTAAATGCCTAAAACCCCTTGACTTCCGGTGGCCCTGCCCCCTGGACCCCACCTAGGGCCCTTAGGCGGATGGCTGGATGATATTATGACGGTAATTTGATGCTTAAAACCCCTGAGCTTCTGGGATCTCGGCCCCCTTGACCTCACGCCAATTAGTTTCCTGCCAGTGTCACAAATGAGGTATCAAAATATGCTTATCTGACCGTAACTAAATGCCTAAAACCCCTTGACTTTCATTGGCTCTGCCCCCTGGACCCCACCTAGGGCCCTAAGAAGGGCCCCTGCATGCCTGTCTGACCGTTATAAAATGCCCAAAACCCCTGAACTTCTGGGGGCTCCGACCCTTAGACCCCACGCCAATTAATGACCTGCCAGTGTCACAAATAAGGTATAATAATGCTCATCAGACGTAATTAAATGCCTAAAGCCCTGAGCTTCCAGGGCTCTGCCCCCTGTACCCAACCATCCCTAAGGCGGGTCCCTGGATGCTCATCTTACCGTAATTTATTGCCTAACACCCCTGAGCCTCCGGGGACTCCGCCTCCTGGACCCCACGCCAATTCATGACCTGCCAGTGTCACAAATAAGATACAACAATATACTGATGTGAAAAAACCCTGAGCTTCCGGGGGCTCCGCCCCCTGGAATCCCACACCAATCCGTGACCTGCAAGTGTCACAAATAAGGTATGGAATTATGCTAGTCTGACGATAATTTAATGTATGAAACCCCTGAGCTTCTGGGGGCTCCGCCCCTGGAACCAACACTAATTTATTTCCCGCCAGTGTCACAAATAAGGTATCAAAATAATATGCTCATCTGACGATAATTTTATGTATAAAACCCCTGAGCTTTTTGGGGCTCCGCCCCCTGGACCCCACACCAATTTTTGTCCTGCCAGTGTCACAAATTAATTAGGTATCAAAATATGCTCATCTGAGAGTAATTAAATGCCTATACCCCCTGAACTTCTGGGTGCTCCACCCCTTGACCCCCGCCGAAAAACGTTCAGCGGGGCCTGCATGTAAGAGTGGGATGATGGGTATTTTTTTTTTCTAACCCCCCCCCTCAAACGTTTTTGTCACTGCCGTTGTCACCATTACGTACCAAAATTTGGCTCGTATAATTTCAAATTTGCCCCCCCCCCTTAAGAAATCCTGGATCCGCGCCTGTCCATTGCTGTAGGATCGAGTGATTATTTAGTGGTACCTCTTCATGTTTTGAAGATCTGTGGACCTTCGGGGTCTCTGGTTTATTGTGTGCTCTTTTTTAAAGAGCGCAAAAATAGCCTTCAGATTAGGCAGCAAGTAGCAGAACACGCCCTTAATACCTGTAGCCATGTTCAGACGGGATCTTGCTAGTCGGCGTAAGTTAATCCCTGCAGCAGCAAATACCTCATGTATATTTCAATTACACCATTAGTTGTTCACACCCTGTTAAGGCACCCTGACACTTGCACGCTCTTGGTTTGCGCATAATTTGCGCATTGTGTTGTGCCACGTGCTTGCCACAACGGGAAGCGTTCGCGCAACATGCGGGAGGATGAGGGTCAATGCGGGACAAGGCTTGAAATTCGTGGCAGAATTTTCAAAAAAAAATTCAAAATTTTGGCACGACAAATTTGGTGGACGATCGACTTTCGTGAACACTTCGCGTACTATGCGTATCCTATACGTATCCTACCCGTGTCGGTACTGACCGGTGTGTGCCAATTAATGCCCGAGTGGCACGCATGTTTACGACCAGTTCACGACGGATTTACGAATAAATTGCTCACACTTTGCGCATCGGATGCGCATACTGCACAGTTGTCACATTTCTTGCGCATGGTCTACGCATGCGCAATACGTGATCAAGAAAGGTTGTCACAAATCATGCTTCATCATGGAATCCAGCATCATGGCATCAAGTACTAGTAGCTCCTCCTCTTCTGAGGCTGAAATGCCTGAAGTTGTAAAGCAGCAGATTGTCGAGGATCACACTAAACCACAGCGTAGTCCGCGCCTATAAGGCGCAACCGTGACAAGGGCAAGAAGAGGGTGTCGAAAAAGGGTATCCCAGTCTTCAACTGGACAGATGAGGCTAGACAGATTGTAGCTGACTACATCAAAGAGAAACCATAACTATACGACAAAGGACCCTCCCATGCATCCCACCATCCTGAGCAACTGCAAACTCCAGGCGTTCAATTGAGCTGGCTACATCATCGTTTGAGGTCCTGCAGGAGGCGGAATGACTGTTTTATTAAAACAGAATATGCCTCTTACGTTTGTATGACTTGTTTTGTTTGTGTTTTCCTTTAAAGAGCTACAGTGGGAGTGACCATTTTTTCTTGTTTTCCAGTCTTTAAGGCCCGAATTCACAAAGGAGGTTTGTCGACAAACCTTGGTTTTCGTACGTCATATGACGCGTTTTACGCGTTTTTTACAAACCTGGTTTGTAAAGAACAAAAGGAGCTTTGGCGAAACAAAAGGAGGTTTGAGCTCAAACCTTGGTCTGAGCTCAAACCTTGCTTTGTGAATTCCGACCTTTATGTTTCAGTGTTAACGAATAGTTTATGTGAGGACGAAGTTGTTCATATCATTAAAGACAGTTCGTAAACAAAACAGCCTAAGCATTATTCTATTCAGTGTAGTAAAATTACCAAAATACTAGTACTATGTTCCTAATGAATATTAAAGGCAACAATTGTTTTATTGGAAATACTGTATTAGGATTTACTTTCATCACAGATAATCGCAATCATTGGAGCAATCAAAAAATATGCCCTGGTGAAAATTGCTTGAACACTTAACTGAAATGACAGCGATCTGGTATAAATGAAATGAAATGAAATGAAATGGTTTGTTCTTGTTGTTGAACATTGAATATCATTACAAAAAAGTGTTGAAATGATTCAGTGTTAACGAAAGTTTATGTGAGAACGAAGTTCTTCATATCTTGAAATACAGTTCGTATGAAATTTATGGAATTATTTTGACAATGATTTCTTCCTAATAGATCTAAATAATAGTATTATTCTCATATTTTGTTGAATAATAATTTGCGAGTGTTTGTTTTGCGTGACTGCGAAAGCAAAACCTACGCCCTTAAGTCATAACTGACAGTACTGATGATTAATGCCTCACAAAAGGGCAATAATACAGCTGATCGACACGGTTTTTATCCTGGGGCCTCGCAGTAGCGCTGCCATTGCTTAGCCACTGAATCATGACTGTACGCAGAGGGGGCTAGGGTACGTCGCCGCCCCCATTAATACAAAAAAAACAACAAAGAAAATGCAATAAATTATCAATAATTCATTGCATTTTCCCCGTTCCTCAAAAGGAAAAATTCCTCTGTAGGGCTATGCATTATGGTTCAAGGCATGGCCACACAGAATTTTTTTTTTCTGTTGGGGATTGGGGCAAAATTCATTATGACCAACAGTGTACTAAAGCATTATACTATATTATAAGGCGAATTTCATACGAACTGTATAGTATTGTTGGTGGACATTGAATATTATGTATAGAAAATAAACATGAGAAATTATTAAAATAAAAAAATTGAAAGAAGAGTTGGGGAGAACGTCTAGCTAGGGATAGAAACAAAGGAAGAAGGAGAAGGAGAAGTAGACGTACAAGTAGATAAGGGTAGAAGTAGAATTTGAGGAAGGAGAAGGAGAAGGAGACGTATACAAGTAGATATGGGTAGAAGTAGAATTTGAGGAAGAAGAAGGAGAAGGAGAAGGAGACGTACAAGTAGATATGGGTAGAAGTAGAATTTGAGGAAGAAGAAGGAGAAGGAGAAGGAGACGTACAAGTAGATATGGGTAGAAGTAGAATTTGAGGAAGAAGAAGGAGAAGGAGAAGGAGACGTACAAGTAGATATGGGTAGAAGTAGAATT